GCTGGCTATCATATCATTTCACAACACCTCTGTCTCATCATTGATTGAGTGGTCTTTGCTTCTTCTTGTCCTTTTTTGGAGGGAGAGGTTTACTGTATTAGGCTAAAGAATATAATTCCTTAGGTAACAGCTAGCCCCTTATTCTCTGAATTCATAGCTAACTTCTTCCCAGCATGCTATGGGAGACATGTGACATCATCTTTCAGATGGAAAAATGGATGCCCTAGACATTTACCAAGCAAAGTTGCTGCCCTAGGGTTCTACTCAAATCCCGATTTGAATGTGAGTGTTTTATTGTCATCAATTCCACTGACTGGTTGCAGCTCTATAACGGATACATGAGCCATTTCCTAACCATGACAGTATTGCTTATTAAGCAGTGAAGGATCCCAAAGCAGCAGCATGATAGGTGACAGGGCCACAAGTTAAATTAAATCCATGGTGCAAATGATTCTACAAGCGACAACAAATAGATCTGTCAGCCTCACTGGTACCCAGTCTCTGAGGAGAGTTCTGAAAAAGGTTGGCACTGGTACTGGGAGAGGAAACTTGCTGAGGTAACTTTAGGTCAAGGTTAACATACTGCTGGCATGGGGAGGAGAGCACCCCTCGCCCCAATTGAAGAAGTTGACTACTTTATTAATATCATACAGGCTGAAACTCTCCTAATTCAGTTACTACCATAACCTGACATGAATAACTGACACTACACATAATTTATAATCTACAAATGGGCCCAACTGCTAGAGACTGAAGTTCACTACTAACTTAAAAACAATATCAGCAATATAACCAATAACAACTTACTTTAAATGAATCATATAAGGGACAACATGTTATGGACCTGCAACAGCCAGACCTTCCTCATCTTTACAGAAGGTAGCTCAGAATACCAGTTGCACAAAATGACATATTTTGGCCCTATTTAACTTATTTGCAAGTGGTTCCAAAAGAAGTAGTGAGGAAGCCTTTGGGAGCCCCAGGAAACCACCCCATGTGCCTAAAGGGAAACTTCATATTTGGTTCCCCAAGGAGGGTCTGGGATGCGTCTAGGGAAGGCAGGAGAAGGTCTCAATGGAAATGAATAAGGTATGGCTAGAAGAAGGCCACAGCAATGCCCCATGTTTGCCTCCTGTATTTCTGTGCCCAGACTGGACTTCCACCTCCCTTCTTTCCTGAATTCCCTCATCCCTCACAACTCTTTAGACACTAGGAGTGGGGACAATATTCTGAATCTGGCTCTAGTGCCATCAGCAGATCATGAGACGCTAAGTGAAATGAGAGTTTCCCCAACAGTGCCAAAGAATCGGACTTTCTGCCTGCAAGTGCCATGAGTAATCTCCAGGACCTAGTGATCAATTTTTAGATACCTCAGACACAGTATTTCTTGTAATCACTAATCCCAACTCACAAGTGTCTACATGCCACCTCCTGCCATGGGCTCTGAATTCAACAATCTCCAATGTAGTTTTTGTAACATATCCTAGTATGAAAGGGGACTGCATGTCTCTTTCTTCCCCAGTAATTTATACATAAACAAATTTAAATGGTGACACTTTGGAATGAGAGATATTATCTAAAAAGGCATTGCTGAACTCAGATCTCAGATCCTTGGATATTAATAACTAAGTTTCTAAAATATAGCTGCAACTTGGGGGTAGAATGGCACATGGAGTGCACAAGAATGGGATAAAGACTTGGGATGATGCACCCAGACACAACAGTCATCCATATCCCTAGAAATACCACCCACTACAGAGCTCTGAGTATT